ATTCTCTTCCTGACCCATCCTACTACAGATCTGTTGTGGGAGTTCTGCAATATGCTACATTAACCAGGCCTGAACTAAGCTATTCTGTGAACAAAGTATGCCAATTTATGGCTGCACCATTGCAACAACATTGGAAGGCTGTGAAGCACATTTTGAGGTATCTTTCTGGCACAATTACCTATGGTCTAGTCATCAAACCTCTACCTCTATCCACTATGTCCTTGCCAGTTTCAGCATTTTGTGATGCTGACTGGGCATCTGATCCCACAGATAGGAAATCCACATCAGGGTCATGCATATTTCTAGGACCCAACATCAGCTGAAGCTGAATATAGAAGCCTTGCTGATACTACTTCTGAGATCTTGTGGATTCAATACCTACTCAGAGAACTTCAAACTCCTTTTGTTACTCCCAGAGTTTACTGTGATAATCTGAGCACAGTACAACTTGCTCACAACCCTGTTCTACACTCTAGAATCAAGCACCTAGAAATTGATCTCTTCTTTGTCCGAGAGAAAGTTAAACTCAAGCAACTTGAAGTCTTCCACATTCCTGCCTCTCAGCAAGTTGCAGATGTGCTGACCAAGCCTCTCTCTGCCTCCACATTCCTTCAGTTCAGAGACAAACTTAGTGTGATTGATTTCCCAAAGCAATCACACTCAGTTTGAAGGGGGAATGTTAGGAATAGTATACGAAGTTATATGTACATTACTTTCCAGTTGTATTGTGGTTAGAGTCGGTACTAATGGTTGTTAGTCAGTTATAACTAGTCAACTATATAAACACTCTGTACAACTGATTCAATACAAGTTTGTTTTCATTTACCAATTCTATCTCTTGTCTAAACTATAATAATTTCATTATATTTGTTTCATGCGGGGTGACTTAACGACTTAGGGGCTAAGCTTTACTTGACTGCTTATTGTTAGAAATATGCTCTAGGACAATCATAATTTTATTTTATTTTTGCTTGGATAAATTATGCTCATTAACATAAAGCTATGAACTTCTTTTATAGTACTATGTTCTCTTTATTAATAACCAGTCCCTGAATAATATGCTTAATAGTTAGTCAACTCGGTGACTTGATCGTGGAATGCTACCCATTCTTATAACTGTTATCTTGTACTAACTCGGTGACTTGATCGTGGAATGCTACCCATTCTTATAACTGTTATCTTGTACTTGCCATTAGCAAGAATATCATTTTTTTTCTTGTTTGAACCTGACATACCGCTGGAATTGTAGGTTAGACTATATAAATGAGAAGCGAATTAAGAGGTTATATTCCAATGGACCTCTTTACTCCTTTGATTTTAAATCAATTGAGGAATGTGAATTTTGTTTACTCGGTAAAATGGAAAAGACACCCCTTACTAGTAAAGGTGAGAGAGTTCATGACTTATTAGGCCTCATACACATTCTAATTTATCTGGGCCAATGTCGAAAATGGTTAAAGGAGGTTTTCAGTACTTCACTTCATAACATTCACTAATGACTAGGAAAAAGGGTCAAATAGGCCCTCCTACAATTCCAAAACCATCACTTAAACCCATGTATTATAAAAAGCATCACATAAACCCATGTATTCTAAAAAAACAATCATTTGAGTCAAGTTACCTGAATGTTACCTTTCATAGCAGGTCACTTTTTCTTTCACTTATTTATTTATTATTTTATTTATTGCCTTTCTTAATACTCCATTCCAGCCAATTTTTGGGGACCAAAAAATGGTCGTCCAGGGAATCCGAACCCAGGAGCAACACAGAAGGACAACCAACTCAACTACTTTCTTGTTGTGTAACAACGTAACTCAAATTGTATATATACTCTAACGCCTCACACTATTATTATTATTATTATTATTCAATATAACTAAATTTGTTATTATAATAATAACTTCAAGTATTTTTATAGGTGTTATTATATCATAATAATTAACTACAGAGTATTTGTGAAAGATTCAAAACATCTATCCTTATTATTTATAATTTTAATATATAAATATTATTTTCACATATTGTGTATCCAATTCTAAACACATTTTAAATTTTGTTGAAAAACTATATGTTTTAGCTCTTTTTTGTTTATTCTTACAAGAATTATTAAATTTTGAATAATATTAAATCTTGAAAAAATAAATTTAATCTAATACTCCGTATATAATTAACTACGGAGTATATTTTATATTTATTTTTTCACAAAATATTGACCGGTTTTCTAGACGGGTTGACTCATGACCCAATAAATATTGACCCGGCAAACGGATGGGTCATGGATCAAGCTGGATCAGTAATGATATCATTATTGAGTCATGAGTCAATCCGGTAAACGCTAAAAAAATTGGTCAATATTTAGTGAAAGAAAACATAAAATTATATTTATAATATACTCCGTATTAGATTAAAGGGAAAATAGAATTAAATAGGAGTAAATCAATCTGTAAATGCATAAATAGTACTACCTCCGTCCCTCTTATATTGGGACGGAAGAGGATGACATAATTATTAAGAAAAGTGGGTTTGCGTGGTTGATATTAATTGATAAAGTAATATTGATTTTGAGCCACACAAACTTTACCAAATATTGATTTTAGTGGGATTTCCCGAAAAGGTAAAACGGGACAATATAAGGGGGGCGGAGGGAGTAATAAATTGTTTATCTTCCCAAAATAAGACTTTAATATACTCTATATTCATATTCTGCCCTTACTACAACTTAATAGGAAAGTCATATTTTAATTTCTAATAAAAAGCCCGCATCAATTGTAATGTGTTTTATCTATTTATTTATTTTTAAAGTTTAAATTGTTTTTGGATTTTTTATTATATACGTAGTATATTTTTAAAATGTTTTTGAATGGTTTATATTTGTTTACTATTTCATTATAAATTAAAATAATTCAATTAGTTTTATGTTTTTATTAGAATAGTAAGGTTAGAATGGGAATATATAGTATATTTTAGTCTTATTTTGGGAGGATAAACAATTTGTTCCTATTTATGCATTTACGGATTGATTTACTCCTATTTAACGCTATTTTCCCTTAAATCTAATATATTATGAACTATATTTTAAGTTTTCTTTCACTAAATATTGACCGGTTTTTTGGCATTTACCGGTTGACTCATAACTCAATAAGGATATCATTACTGATCCAACTTGATCCATGACCCATCCGTTTTCCGGGTCAATATTTATTGGGTCATGAGTCAACCCGTCTAGAAAACCAGTCAATATTTTGTGAAAAAATAAATACGGAGTATAAAATATAGTTAAGGCGAAATTCACAAGAATAATCCGTACTTTTAGGGATTCTTCAATAATAATTCCTAGTGAGAATGTCCACAAAAATAATCCAAACTAGCAATAGTGTTCATAAGAATAAATTGGGTGAATTCAAATTAATGCCCGTTTAATACTTTCAACACTTACTCCCACTTTTCTCTTCCCCGAGAAGAAGAGTGATGAATGGAAAAGTGGTAGGGGTTGGGAATATTAAATGAGAATTAATTTGAATTAATTTAAATTTATTCTTATGGACACTATTGCTAGTACGGAGTATATTTATAGACACTCTAAATATGGATTATTAATGTAGAATCCATAAAAGTATGGATTATTCTTGTGAATTTCACCTATATTAATTATATATTAGATTAAATTTATATTGTCAAAATTTACTATCATTCAAAATTTAATAATTCTTATAAGAATAAACAAAAAAACAGAGCTAAAACATATATTTTTTCAACAAAATTTAAAATGCGTTAAGAGTATATATACAATTCCAGTTACGTTGTTACACAACAAGAAAGAAGTTGAGTTGGTTGTCCTTCCGTGTTGCTTCAGTGCTTCACCCCTGGTCCCGGTTTCGAATCCACTGGACAACCATTGTTTTGGACCCCAAAAATTGGTTGGAATGGAGTATTAAAAAAGGCAATAACTAAATAAATAAATAAGTGAGAGAAAAAGTGACCTGCTATGAAAGGTAACCTTCAAGTAATTTGACTCAAATGATTGTTTTTTTAGAGTACATGGGCTTTTTATAGTACATGGGTTTAAGTGATGGTTTTGCAAATGTAGGAGGGCCTATTTGACCCTCTTTCCTAATGACGATAATAAGTTCAGGTTTGTTTACCTAATGAAGCATAAACATAAATCCTTTGAAAAGTTTACAGAATTCCAAAACGACATTCACAATAATGAGTTCTCATTATTAACAATTAGCCACTGAATAATATGCTTAGTAGCTAGTCAAGTACTTGACTTGATCGTGGAATCTCACACATTCTTATAAGCATTATATTTATATTTAATCTCGTGGGAATCACACTTTCAATCCTTCAAATTGTATCCACATTGAAATGTTGCCCCTGTATTTTCAAGTTTGTAAAGGTCACCCCTCTTTTTTCAGTTTTGCCTTCATTTCAATACACTTTTAGCATTAATTTCCCTCTTTTTTCTACTTCAAATTTTAAACAATTTTGAAATACTAGTTAAGAACATGACTTCACAAAGAAGAGGTGTTAATTAGACTTGCATTTAAGACATGGGTAATATAGTAAATTATGTGATATTGTATAGTAGCACATATTTTGATTGGCAATTGGAGTTTATTTCAAATTAAGCTCGAGTGTGCATATTTTAATAGCTACGGAAAGCATAAATTTAATTTTTTTTTACATGGGAATGTTTGACTTTTTAAATCATAGTTATTGGTAAAAACAATTGTCACATAATTGATGTGTAATAATAAAAGTAAGGATTTATGCATTTAATTTTAAAAAAAATATGTTGGGTAAATACATTGACGGTGCTGGGTTGCGAGGAAAAATGAATTTATTGAGTGAATATGTATAAACTGGTGGAGAATTTGATTTATTCACCTACCAGTGTTATGGTTAGCCTAACCTTGGGCAATCCATGCCTCGTGCAGTCAGCTAGCTTGTGCATCCTACAACGTCAAATTTTAAATTAAGATGGCAAAAAAAATTACCTGGATGAATTTAAAAGCAAAAACAAACACGTTCCGCTTTAGAAGTAGCATCTGCCATTGGAAGCCAATCTTTAGGATCTTGGCTTTTGTTACACCATAAGTTGTAGTTGACAATGCTCCTGAGTTACTGCAATGCTTTGCATTTGGAGTTTTCAGCTCATCCATCAAAGAGTTACCAACGTGAAAGGTCTGGAAGCTTTCTACAAATTTCGTAGCAGGTATATAGTGGTACTGGCTATTAAGGAACCAATACTTCCTCTGGTCCTTCTCAGATGTAACCTGCAAATGAATATGAAGATGTAAGCTCATTTATTGGGACAAAATTTATCATTGTTTTAGAACGAATCCCCAACTGAACATACAGACCTCTTGCAGAAAGTCAGCAACGTTTTTTCTTGGAGGGCATTTAAAACCCGTAAATGCGAAGAAATCAAGAGCACTTTCTCGTGGACCCTGATATATAATCTGTCCTTCACACAGCAGAATCACATCATCAAACAGGCTGTAAGTCTCAGGATCCGGTTGCAAGAGAGAAACTAGTGTGGTCCCACTGAAAGCATGAGTTGAATGCTTTAGATATCTGATGATTTTGTAGGTGGTTGAACTGTCGAGGCCCGTTGAAATCTCATCCATTAACAGTACCCTTGAAGTTCCCACAAGCAATTCACCTGCATGAATAAACAAAAAAAAAAAATCAGCAATCAAAAACGCACTTCACTTTGGTAATGTGAAGAATAGCTTTGATGCTAAATCAACTCTCTCAAAAGGTAACACTTATTAAGAGCTTCATCCATGATCCATTCATATTAGGCATGTCGAACACTGGGCAACACCTCTGCATCATGGCTTGTTTTGATGTCATGTTAGGAATAAGGTTGGAGTGATGGACATAACCCTAAAAAAGCTCTAAAGATGTGAGCACCAACTCATATTTAGGCATTTAGCAGATGAAAAACAGTCTTCACCGAGTGGGCGATGGCATGGGGATAGTCAAGCGATTAAATGGGGTTGATTAATTTGGGAAACAAACAGAAACAGTCAAGGGAAGTCTAGCGCCTAGGTGGGAACTAACTATGCGGTCTAGACAGGTAACTTTAGAACAGAGCTAATAAATAAGCCAATAAGGTAGGTAAAACCTGTTGTGAGACGCTTCTTTTGCCCCCCTGAGATCCCTTTGAGCATTTCATCACCCACCAATGTATTAGCACAAGTATCCAATCCTAAAATCTTTGCAGAAATAGATGGGAAAAAATGAAACCTCTTTGCGAACAAACAAAAGTGACGAACAAAAGAAACAGTTAATTTTCTTACCTTTAAAATGTAATCCACAACTGTGCTTGTCTGCTCTCCAAGTGCTACTGCCTAGGATGAAACAATTCCTTTAAATTTGAGACATAAGACATGCATTAACCTAAACAACAATTGTTTTAAGAGGTGATAACAGGGGGGCGAGTTAGGTAAGGAGGATTAATGGTGGAGCCAAAAGACTTGCGCCAACCCCTCCCTCCATGCCTCGGTGGGACCGAAATGAGAAGAAGACGCGGTACAGGGAGATGTACCTTAATAAACATATCAATATCAGGATCAGGGGTTATTCTGGCAACTTTCTCCCTTCTCAACAGTTCCATAAGCAAATCTGGAACCAAATCTCAGCTGCTCCGCATGAAATTGAAAAGCAATTAAGGAATAGACAAAAGGATATGATGCAACAGTGGTTTTACCATGCTTAAAGCCATTGCCCTGACATTGCCCAGAGAACTCGACAGTCTCCCTCACTGTCATCTCTGCAATGTGGCAATCCTTTTGGCTGACGTAAGCTGACGTTCTCTGAGGCACAAACTCCTTCAGACAATGCCCGTTGTATGTAATCTTCCCTGACATCTTCAAGTAGTTAAATGAAAGCACATTATTAAATACTCTAAACAAAACCACATACTGTAGCAATGTGAAAGACTAAAATGTGTATCTTTTTATTAAGATTTGGGATTCTTTTACACAAGTTCTGAGAGTAAACATCATCGACATAGCTAGAGGTAAGCCAATCAGGCCCTCGCCCACCCCAAGTTCATTAAAAAGGCATTTTTTTGGTATAAAGTTTTTGCTGCAATTTTATATGGATGAATTACTTTTCTGGCTCAATCCAGGCTATGGCCATGCTCAGGAGTGAACTGCTCATACCTTATTAATATTAGAGCTCCATGCTAACTCAAAGACAGATACGTTAATATTTTGTTGTTTTATTTTTCCAGTGTGGGATGACATAAACATTCTTCAGTTAAGGAAAACCACTGCACCTTCAAACCAGAACCAAGGCGTCCAGCGAGAGCCAAAAGCAACGTGGTCTTCCCAGAGCTTGGAGGACCGAGAAGAAGAGTCAGCCTGACAGCCACACCACTCTTAAGTAGCAGAAGAAGAAACTTGCTTGATTGATCAAAGCATGCAGTATTACCTTGAAGGCCGTAGAACACCGCTGATGTTATTTAGGATGGACAGTCTCTTTCGTCTCTGGCTCGAAAAAACCCTGAGCTTTCTCAACAAAGCCTTTTTTTAATATTGAAAATTGTCAGACAAAAATGGGAACTCCAACTGTCAAACAGGCTACAGATATAACAAGGGGATTTGACTTTGCACCCCACTTTTGGGTGATATTGGACTTTGCATCCCATTTTGAAAAAACTTTGATTTTGCACCTCATTCCACTTAAATTTCCTTTGACTTTGCACCCATTTAGAACTTTTTCTTCACAAAATGGTATGTGTTGGGGTGCAGAGTCAAAGCTTCTTGAAAATGGGGTGCAAAGTCCAATATCATCCAAAAAGTGGGGTGCAAGGTCAAATTCCCCATATAACAACAGCCAACAACATCCAAAAAAGTTTAGATCTACTAACATGAATCGCCATATAAAATTGGAGCTAAAAAAGATTTAAAAAAAACTAAGAAGATAAAGTAAGATAATATAAGATAAAAACGGTAAAAAGGTAAGATAAGAAAAAGATACGGATAAAGCTAAAAAGGATAAGATACAAAAGATAACATAAAAAGATAAAGAAGGTAACAAAGATAAAAAAAGAAAAAGGTAAAAAGAGAAATATAGACCAATTCTCCATATGTATATTCTCCCTCCACTTTGCTCTCTCCAAGTCTCCTCTCACCCAACTCAATAATGGGAGGGTAGGGATGCATTGGAGGGATGAGGGATAGGAGAGAGATCGAGTTAAAATGAATGAGATAAAAAAAATGGATCATGGTCTATGACAAGGTCCATATACGGGATTCGAGGAGAAAAGGTTGATAAAAAGTGGGTTAAAAGTGATACTCCCTCCGTCTCGGTGGACTTTGCCAAATGCAAAATAGGTGAGAAATAAGAATAGTAAAAACTGTGTGGTTGAGAGTTGTACAGAGAAAGGAGAAATGCGCAGAACCACAAATTAGTTGCTTTAATAGGAAAGTGGCAAAATTTTTTGGGACAACTAAAAAGGGGAAGTTGGCAAAGTCCAATGGGACGTAGGGAGTATAAAAAATGAAAATGGAAACAAATTAGGAAATATGTGTATCCTACACATAAAAATTGTGAAATAAAAAATGGGACTTATGCGTAAGGGTGTGCATAAAACCACACACTTCATTGGAGTTGCTCTAAGTACTCAACAGGCTAAAGATATATGAAAATGTATGAAAATATACCTCGGTCGTGTTCAATATGGAATTGGGGATAGTTGGCAATGCTCTACTCCCTTCATGGATAAATGCATCCACCTTGAGATCTTGAAATCGAACTTCGACCTTTGGGAATTCTAAATCAACTCTGCAATTAATTATATAAACAAATATCCACCAGTTTTAGCTACTAGGGCCAAATTAATATCAATGCATCCAAAAAGAAACCAGCTTATTACTAATTAAAGTGTCATTACATTTGAATAGTTGAAGGGCATAAATATTCTCTACTTCTGAGGGGGTCTGATGTTACTCCTTAGTTGTATACTCCCTCCGTCCCAAAAACAACTTCACAGTCACTATTCATTGGTCAACTTGAATCACTCCTAATCTTTTATTTTATGTATCACATTTTTATCAAATTGAAATTTTCTTGATCAGGCTTTGGGGCGGTTTTAATGTAGTTTCTGAATATGTAAATTTTATTTACTAAAAATAATCTGTGTGTGAACAGGGATCGAGTTGCTTTATCGTCAGTCAAGCATCGTGAACCGAACGGGAAGTTAATTTTGGGACGGAGGTAGTATGTCAATCCATAAAGAGAAATGCTTGAGGTACACACTTTGTGTACACATTTTGTGTACACTCGTCTGTCTTTTAAGAAAATTTTGTCTGTCACAGACAACTCATATGTGAATTGTCTGTGACAGACAAAATTTTCTTAAGAGACAGACGAGTGTACACAAAGTGTGTACACAAAGTGTGTACCTCAAGCATTATTGATCCATAAATTTTGGAGTGGTCAGACACCTCTCATGCATACGCACATATGCACTTTTCATTAATACTGGATTGGCTAGTGGACCTTCTTGGGCGCCCATTCCTATAAGCATCCACGATGCAAGGATGCCTAGTCTAAATAAAGTATACTAATTATCAATTAAATAGAAGGCCTTTGAACACACATAATACAATGTGAAATGACTAAGCATAAAACTATGAAATAAGGTTCCAATGCATAAAGTCTACACTCTGCGCCTTGATTTAAGTATGTGGAATAAATTATATTAAAGGAAAACTAGACTAATTCATCTGTTTTAACTCCCATTGATATTAAACTGCCATGATTTTTCTCCCTCTCTGCTGATTTTTTGGATTAGTCTTGCCGTTTCTTTTTTTTTATTTTGTCCAGTCACCACGTGCACAAGGCTTTCTACATTCGAACATGGGGAAATTCCCAAAATAGGACTAAATGAAACTTAAATTGCAAGAATAGGAGTACAACTTCAAAATTCCCTAAATAGGATTATCTTTCCAATTCTACAATTGCCTTGTTTTAATAAAATTCATATTTCATTAATAATTAAAACATAAAAGTAATGACATAAATTTATTGATAATAAAATGTAAGAAAATAAAAACCACAAATATGAATATTAGACAAAATTAATAAAAATAAAAAATTATAAATTAATAAAGTTAAAAATTAAAATAATGAATAAAAAATGTTAAAATAAAAATAAAATGTGTAGGTCTCTGCTGCCCCCTCAACAACCTCCCAACACCACCAGCTCAACCACCAGAAAAAATGCCAACATATGTCAATAATGCCATCTTGATGGTTGTTTTAGAGAAAGAATTGACGTTTTCAAACAGTAAAATTGACAAATTTTGCTGATCGGAGGTGACGTTGCTGGGAGGTGGCAGAGGCTTTGGGAAAGGCCTCCATTTTAAAAAAAATTATGTGTTTTATCTATTTTTATTTATTTTTAAATTTTTATTTTTTAAAATCTTTTTAAGTTTTTTAAAATTTTAATATTTTTTTATTTTTTAAAAATATTTTTGAATTTTTTCCTGTTCTTTACGCTTTCATTATAAATTAAAATATTTTTTATGTTTTTATTACAAACTAAAATATGATTTTCCCGAAGTTATGGCAAGGGATAGGAAGATAGAGTTTACATTAGACCTATTTGTACAAATTTGATATTAGTTTACTCATATTTAGGGCTACTTTCCCTCCAAACATTTATGGGAAAAGGTGCAAATAGGCTCATGTACTAACCAAAAAGGTCAAATAAGCCCTTATTTAGGAGGCTTTGTCCGGCCGTCATCATTTGGGGTGGTTCCCGGTGGAATTTTTTGATGAAATTTTTTGAGCGTTTTATTCATCAAGTCTAGTTTACTCATACCAAATTTCAGCTAAAACGTCAATCGGGAAGACATTCAAATGAATTCTTGAAGATAACTGCGCTTCTAACTACGCAGTTATTTTCAAGAATTCATTTGAATGCCTTCCCGATTGAAGTTTTAGCTGAAATTTGGTATGAGTAAACTAGACTTGATGAATAAGATGCTAAAAAAAATTCATCAAAAAATTCCACCGGGAACCACCCCAAATGGCGATGACCGGATAAAGCCTTCTAAATAAGGGCTTATTTGACCTTTTTGGATTAGTACATGCTATTTGCACCTTTTCCCAACATTTATTTTTTGACAGTACTTGACTTTTTGCCAACTCATCAAAACTTAATCAATGACTACATTAAATGAACAATGTTAAAGTTAATGATGTGGCACACTTTAATGCATTGGGATGCTGTAATAACGCAATTCAATTGGGGCTACCGTGTTGATTAGATAACTCTTGCCCAGGAGTAGGCGCTTATATAGTTATATTATAGGTGAATTCTATAGTTATATCTTCCATTTAAAACTAAAGATAAAAAATAATCTTTTATTTGTTCACGGCTAATAAAAAACACTCTGTACTCATGAATTGAGCCGAGGAACAGCTCTTTATGCATAAGAAAGTATCCAAAACATTTACTCACTATACCAAACAAAAGTCATCAAGGTACAACTTTTTAGTTTTGGTAAAACTCTAGCTAGTAAATTAAATCATCAAACCTGTTCAAAATTCTACATTGTTTGTTTTTCAACTAAATTAGCTTTTTGTAAGTAAAAAAGCTCATTTGTTTTTGGATAAATGAGTCTTTTTTAGACTAAAAGTCTAGAAAAGTGGTGAGAATAACCCTTTAATTAAGGGTGCACACACATACACATATATATAGTACTCCCACCGTCTCATTAGAAGGCTCTCACTTTCCTTCTTTGGACGTCCCATATAAAGGTTCTCATTTCCATTTTAGGAAATAATTAACAATCTTAAGCAATAAATTAATTATTAAATATTAAAAACAATATATTTATAACACCACAGTTATCAATACTAACTATATTATAATATAATATATACCATATAATATAATATAATATAATATAATATAATATAATATAATATAATATAATATAATATAATATAATATAATATAATATAATATAATATAATATAATATAATATAATATAATATAATATAATATAATATAATATATAACATATTAAAATTATTTCTCAAAATATATTCGAAGTACTTTATTTATTTATTGTCTAAATAACCGTGTCGTTTTGCTATAGGAACCTTCCAACGGGACGGAGGTAGTATATAGATATGCTCGGACCACTTACGCCTCGAATCTCTGCCTCGCTCTTGTGAAAAATAAGTCAATGTCCCCATCGATGACCGCCATCAGCTTCTGAAGCACTTGCTCCCGCTGCGACTCTTGGAGGCGCCGGACATCCAGCACCGTAACCTCACCTCCTTCCGGCCCTATAAAGACCGAATTGCGGGAACGAAAGACAGTGGGAGACCTCTGCAATGCAGCCTTGATGAGTGCCTCCTCATCGCTGCTTCCTCCATTCTGTGCAATTCCTGAAAACATGGTTTCTTTAGCACTCCACATTGCTAGCTGTGTGCAGTGCAGTGGGGGTTTCTTTCTTTGGTTTATTAAGCATCAACTCTTAAGTACAAACCATAAAGAGTGAGAGGTGGGTGCCGTTAGATGTGCACATTCACCCACTTTGGAGGCTGGCTTTGAAGAGGGAGGGACGGGGGCTTTCATTTCATTTATTACCTCAACCCAACAAACAAGGCTGGCTCATGAATGAATGAGTTGGGAATTCCTTTTTTTTCAACCTGGTTTAATCCCAAAAACCCGGAGGTCCTTGGGGTGAGGGCCAGGAAACACCCCACCTATTTATTAAAGAAACAGAAACTTACACGAGTAGGAGGGCCAAACCAAAGCCTACTCAAAGAAAAGATTACAAAACATAAGGGAAACTAATGGCATCAAACTTGAGAATACCAACAAAATGATTAAATTGATGACTATTGGTTTTAATTGACATGTTATGGTAAGCAAGAAACTCTGCAGCTCTATTAACTTTTGGACTAATGTGGGTGACTGACCAAGTGTTGGTGTTGAGTTTTTTTCTAATTTTGTGGATCTTCGATCAATATTTCCAGTGTTGCAGCGAAATACCTGCAATCCCCTCATAGATCTCTCTATCATCCACCTCAAAGATCACATTATTAAGGACATTGTTGTTTAGAAGAGGGATAAAGTAATCAAGGGCTTCATAGGAGCCCCCAAAATGGAATTTCCCTTTGATCCAAAGTGGAATTTCCCACCCCAGGAGCCCTCACATCCCTAACGCGACAGAATGATGGGGGAGTAAGTCATGGTGTCCAATGGTGGTAGGTCTATACACCCGTGCGCACCAGAGGCTCAGCCTTATTTCAGGTTCTGTGATCTCCACCCGATCGCTGCGGGGATTCGAACCTTGGTCCATTAATCCAAATCTCCCACCACTTAACCAACTGAGCTACTCATGCGGGTCTGAGTTGGGAATTCCTGGTTTCACCGCATGTTAATCAGGGAGCGTTTGAGAGAAATTAAAAAAAAAATGTTTTTTTAGCTTTTGATTTCGAAAAAAGTTGAAATTGGTGCATTCAAAAGTTGGAAGCTGGGCCAAAGGTGCTTCTCACTATTTCTTGGTTTTTTTTGTATATAATCCCAACTCTTGGGATAATTATGATGTGGATATAATATGCCAAAGTCGAGAGTGTCCTTCCCTTCACATATTCCTTATACCCGAGTTCATCGTTGCAATCCATCTTCCTCTTCAACGTACGGATACAATCTACCTTCGCCGAAAATGAAGAAGGTTGTCGCCGGCTAGAATGGAGGCCATCAAAATCTTGGAATTGGACGGAAATGCAGTCAGGAGCTGACGTACCATATAATGAGGGTAAGCATGGGCTACACCTCAAAAGATGTTCTTTAGCCTATCTGGTACCACATGAGTTTTGTTTTTTAAGTGTTATCCAGTATCCTCGCTTTTCGTGAAATAACTAATGCGGTCATACGCCTACTAGGCTGCTACTTTGTTTTCTGTTGTTATAACTTATTATGGACCGCTTGGATGATGGATTTGAGGCCCAAATGTGAAATGTCCAATACCTTTAAATAAAAAATGTCTAACTTAAAAATCCTCCCGCCCCCTGTTAAACCTAATGTGCAACTTATAGTAAGGAGCAGCTTTGACTTCCTATTCAGAGACTCAATTCATCATCCAGTTCTTCAGTTTCAGGTTTTCTAATTCGGTAAAAATAAGTGATTAATCCTTATCATTAATAGCATGTCAGGTTTTGTAATTCTGTAAAAATAAGTGATTAAATCCTTATCATTAATAGCATGTCTGATCTATATTATATTCTCCCTCCGTCCCGCTATTAACTTCCTACTTTTCTTTTTGGGTCGTCCCAAAATAATCTTCTCATTTTCCTAAATGGAAAGTTATCCTACATCAAAACAGTGTCAAACAGTGCAAAACAGTGCCAAACAGTGTCTAAACAGTGCCAAACAGTGCCAAACAGTGTCTAAACAGTAAAGTCAAATTTATTTCCTAAATATGTGTGTAGGTCAAAGTAGGAACTTAATAGAGGGACGGAGGGAGTATATAATCTCTAATGTATCAATTTATTTAGCATTTAAATCATCAAATGTAATTTTAATTTTTGCTCTTATGGACTAAATAAGTATCACTAATGGAATACGAAGTATAAGAATATAATGTTATACACTTAACAGTTATACATGTGATTATGTGACATGTGTAATGTGTTAATTTGGTATTTTGGTTGAAATAAAATTGAATTGTAAATATGTACTTGGGAAGAAAAAATGATTACAATTTTTTTAAAAAAATCAGTTAGTAATCACGAATTTATAGCTGCATATTGTATAATAATTATGTATTTCCAGTGTTTACTTTAGTTTAGATAGAACTAGTTTTTTTATTCTATTTTACCGTATACGTACATCACATTTTGTATTATAGTGTTCATATTTAAAATAATGTTTTTATTTTCAAATTTTATATAAATATAATGTCCATGTATAATTTAGCCATGACAATTGTGAAGACCGAGTTGCGAAATTGAATGAGAGATGATTGGACAAATAATTGTTTAGTTCCGGATATAGAAAGTCATGTATTTGACATCATTAAATACTCTCATGTGGACATGTGGTATACTACTAGAACTATAACCTACATTAAAAATTGTCCTGAATAGCAGTAAAAGCGTTTTGAAATTCCAAAATAGGATCTTCATGTTTTTATTCTCTAAATTGAATTAATTTCTGTCAAGTTTGAAAAAAACTTGGCAGAAACCACCATGTTTAAAGTCTAACAATGTCAAACTTGGCAGAAAATACCACTATTTAGGGAATAAAAACATGATAGTCTTATTTTGGAAGTTCAATTTTTTTTTACTTTCTATTTAGGGAATTTTCCCTACCTATATCTATATTAGTGCATACGGTGACCCCCGATGCCTAGATCCGCCACTGAATGCAGTCCGAGAAGTTGTTGAGCGGAGTAACCATCACACACGGTGGCGTGTTGCCAAACATTAACCTTGTCTTGCTCTACCAAATTAAAAAGAGTTTGATACCGCCGGTATGGAACCTAAATAATCCGGCTAAGTCTCCAAAGAAGGATGTAGCTTGACCCAGCTGCATAGATGTGGTTTTGTTCCTATAATTCCGGCCAAACCAGTTTACTGTTACCGAGTCATTGGGTACAACCGTACAAGGACATTGTTGTACTTTTAGAAACGGTTACATCTAAAATCATTTTTTACCAAACACTTCAACTCTAACTTTTTCACCATAATCACTCACTCTAAAACAATATCAATTTTTACTATTAACACATGTTCTTTAAAATCATTTCAAAAATCACTTTTTTAACGTAGAAGCGAATGCAAACATTCCCTACCATTGTACCAGTAATAAATACTACCTCCGTCCCGCTATTAACTTCCTGTTTTCCTTTTTGGGACGTCCCAAAATTATCTTCTCTTTTTGTGTAATCACCATCACACAAGTTCATTTTCAGAATAATATTTTCCTCCATAGTTGTCGTAGTAAGACTTGTTAAGCCATAATTTTATTAATTGTATTATACTTTATGTATAACTCTTGTCAATTAGCTAGTTCGTGATTTTTTTTGGCAAAGAATCTCTCCATGTGAATCTAGTGTTTCGTTTATTCATTCTTCCTACGTAAGGTTCATTCTTATTCACTTATGGTTTATTTATTCTAGCAAATTCGTTACTTCCTAGACCTGTACAAAACCGGGCCGGCCCGCCCAGCCCGCCCACACAAATTAGCGGGCTTGGGCATATATATTTACCCACCGGCCCGGCCCGGGCCCGGCCCGCAACAACATATGGGCGGGCTTGGGTTAAGGTGTAGGCCCGTTCGGGCCGATAAGCTCGGCCCGCTACATTTAGTATATATACATATATATTTTTATATATACTAATTTATGTATTTATTTACATGTACACTTGTATATTTTCATATTTACTAATTTATCTGTATACGTATATATATAGTTTATTATGTTTAAATTTAAGTTTTTAGTTCTTAACAAATAGTCCAACCAATATAATATCTATTTTTGTACTTAAAGATAATACTTTGTGCTTGAATTTTAAATTTTAGATATAGTTTCTCATTATTATTTTTGTGTAAATATTTTTTGTGTATGTGATGAAAGGCCTATATACATTATAAACGTATTAGCAATTTTTTAAATGTTGTAATATTATTTATAAAGTGTTAAATAAATTATATAATTTTGAAAAATTTAAAGTTTTACCGGGCCCGGCGGCCCGGTGGACTACCCGGCCCGCTCTTACGGGCGGGTATGGACATGGGGTTAGGGCCGTTTTTGCGGGCCGGGCCGGGCCCGCCCACACGCGATGGGCAGAAAAATTATGGAAAGCCCGGCCCGAGCCCGGCCCGAACCCGCTTTTGTGCAGGTCTTACTTGATAATGGTGTATCATTTTTCTTTAAAGATTTAGTTATGCATTTGATCTTTTTTTAGATAGTTTTAACACAACTTGTTGAATTCGATGCAACTATACATGTTTACTCTTGCACATTTACCTATGATTGTTGCATTCTTTTCAGATTTTGAATTTTCACTAAACTAATACTCCCTCCGTCCCAATTTGTTTTGCAAAGTCAACATTTTTTGGTCAACCAATAATAAAAGTCAACCCTCCTTATGCATAATTAATTCAACTTTTAATAAATAAAATTTACATATTCATAAACTACATCAAAATCTCTTCAAAGTTGTAAACTCCAAATTAGAATACAATTACAAATTGGCATCCTAATTAAGTGAACAAAACGTAACTGTTTGACCAAGAAAAGACAAATTTGCAAATCAATTCGGGACGGAGGTAGTATTTAATTTTCTAGATTTGCACTAATTATAACAATTAGTGCACCTACATTGTTATGTGATGCATTTTACGTGTTTGATATGGAACACTTTCATGATAGCTATTGATTTGGTTTTCAGATAATAATAAAAATGCTTCTCTATTGAGTTTCTTATGCACTTACCATGCTTTGGTCATACACTTATTAGGTTTTAATTCTTTTCTTTTGTTGCAGATATGATGCAATACCAATAGAGCAATTGTGATCCATTTG